TATAAAAAGAGCTTTTAGGTCCAGTCTGCAGTTCATTTATTCAGCCTTTTCTTAGGTCGTAGGTGTTAAACATGACTTGTAGCCACAGTTATGTGCTTTCTAAACTATCCTACTCATAGAGCAATAATCACTCATTTTTAACAACAATGCTAGAGAATCTATTTTGACATTGTTTGTTTGTGGGGTGTCACTCATTCACCTCCCTGCTGGGTACAAAATAGGTCAAACACATTTTGACCTTTTCTTCCCATTGGTTTCTATTCATCAAAACACCTTTTTTAGGTTATTTAAAATCAGCGCACTAATGCTTCAGCAACCTTTTTATTAAAGACTTAATCCCACAGTCACCCCCCTTTGTCCCAGATAGTGTGTTGTTGAAGTGTGAATCTGTTTGTGCCCTTTAGGAGATCCTGTGCCACCGCCATTTCATTTCTGTTCATCTGAGTGGCACAGTCATAGCGTGGGATCCTAAATGGAGAAAAAAAATGTGGTCTTCCTTATTCATTAAATAAGAACGGTGCACTCCTTGAAGGAATTAATTTGCCTGCCATAGTTTCAAACAGTGTCTTGCTCATCTGTTAGCATTCAAACTGTGTGATGTGTTTTAGCTACTGCTGAGCCAACATTTAGCTCAATGTCTGTAACACTGATGGAGTTGGAGCCATTTTTATGTTGGCTAGCTGTGGGGTTCATCTTAAATCGAGCTGACGCACAATTACATGATTGCCTGCCTCATGGCAGTCAGTGATGAATAAATGAGTACCCAAGCATTTAATTAGAAGCCCACCCAAGTATGACCACTTGTTAACAAGCCCACCTCAGATGTTCCTGAGGACATTAGAAGTTCAGCTGCTGTTGTGCCTTGTGGTTCCCCCTCCCCTCCTTTCTTGTCCACGTGTCTTGTCTGTCTTCATCCCCTGCTGGAAGCTCAAATACAAGTTGAGGCCAAAACAAAACGGTTTTGCTGAAGGATGCTTGACTGAAAACAGAATAAAGTTTATCACAAAGATTGTCATAAATTTAATTGTGATTAACTTTGTATTTCCTCCAAGCCCTTCATCAGGGAGTCTAATTGACTATTTCCTAAATGAGCCAATTTTTCTAAATGTTAGTACTACCGGTAAATGCCTTGTTGTGCATCTAAAGACTGTGATGGACACACGGCTGAACAGGATGTAGATGTTACAGACCGCTTCAAAGTGGTTTAGGTATCTGCTGTGGCCCCAGAGTAGACCTCCATCCAGCCTACTGAGCAAAATGAAAACTGTTGTTGACCAACTAGTTTAGTCTCTATTTTAGATGGTGGTTTCAATGAGTCTTTGATTTGTTGGATGTTTATATTTGATTGTGGGGAACCAGCATTGTGTTCAAATTTATCATTTGAATTTTTGTGCAGACCTGCAGCAAATACTGTACGTCAAAATACCCATCTTTAGCTTGCTATAAGACTTCCACATTGTTGATACACACACTACTTTTGCAATTAAACACCTGCCTTTTTTTTGTCCACCAGTGCACACAGATAGAAGAACATAAGGCTTTACAAGTGCTTCACCAATTTGGGTTCTTTTTTTGAGGATATAAAAAAATTTGCAGATGTAAAAATGATGCGCTGATAGAATTGTTGCAGAACTGAGCCAAGCTATTCATGTCTGCTCAGTTACTCGTGAGTTTGTGACTGGAACTGCTGTATTATTTTTAGAGTACATGGTTTGAAGGGGGGGTGGGGGCAGTGGCAGCTGTGGAGGAGATAATCCCTAGCCTGGACCTTAGCCTGTCAAATAGAAACTCCTAAAACTATTGTCAGCTATTGCGGTTCAACTAGATTAAAAAGGCCAAAAAAAAAAGAAAGAAGGAACATAAAAGGGAGTTCATATTATCCAGTGAAATGTGATGGTACAATGCTGATTTAGTTTAGCTCAGTCAGAAAAAACACTGTGGTCATCTCCTTATGGTTTAAAAACAGCCAGCCAAGCAAATAGTATTTCTGCTTTTCCTCATGTGCTGTCGTACACAAGTCCATTAGTTCAGCTGACTCCTGGACTCAGTTCACAAGTAGAAACCATTTGTAGAAGGAATTAAATATGTTTAGTCTGAATGTGGTTATTTACAAAACCACTTTAGGCTTATTGTAATGAGCATAGGTTTAAGGTATTGTACATTTAATTAGATTTTTAGACCTGAAATCTTTGTCTACTGTTACAGTTTAAAGTAAACTATACACCAGGGGGTGAGTCGGGGAGGGGGGGACTCCTGACTGAACAGGTGTTTTTCACTCATGTTCCATCATCTTAATTATTTTGCAACCATCTGTCTGCAGAGGGTTCATGTCAGTGACCAGCACGCTAAACAACCCTGAAACCTGAATTGATTGTGATCTACTGCCATGAATTTTAAAAATGTGTATTTTGTTTAGAGAAAAAGCTATAACTCTGTTACTTCTTGCAGCTTAAAATTATTGGTCCTGCTGTGTGACTGTTGAACAGACATGTATCATTATTTAAGTGCTACTTAAATTCAAATAGGTTTTCTTCAGTGGAGACCAGTGGTATACAGCTGAAGAGCAGCACTAAAGCTGGTTTCATGGGAGCTTCAGCAGAGTAGATACTTGCCCACAAGTGGCCTTGAATCTCATCTGTGAGGATGAATCATTGTCTTCTCTCTGCAACTGTCTGCCTCCTTAATGTCCAAGAACATACTTTTGTACTCTTACTGTTTAGGATCTGTTTTGTTTTTTTAAACAAACTAAAACTTTGCCTCTTCTTCTCTGTCAGGATTGCCACGGCACCCTCAGGGCTGCCACTCTGAGCCTGTTTTCTTTGGAATTAGTTTTCCTTTCAGATGAAGCCAATTAGCCTCTTGCGCCATCACATGACTGCGCTCATGGCGCCGTTCTTGTCTCAAAATGAGCTCTGTTACCTATACATGCAGGGTTTGAGTAAATTAAACTGCTTCTTCAAGACAAATGTTTGTTATATGGAACAATTGTAACCAAAACACATTTTCACCCTTCTACTGAGGGTTGATTCCTGTTAAGGCCAAACGATACAGTTTTTCTGTTCACATTTTTGTCATGCTTGAATTTCCTTCAAGTCGTCTTCCTGACAGTTAGGTTAGGTTACTTTATCTATGCCCAAGGGTAGATTTGGTTTGCAGTAGTACAGAGCACAACATAAGCATACATCCATGCGTACACACAATGTTAAAAGTAAGAACACCTCAAATAAACCATTTACAAATAATAGTGCTCAAGGCTCCACAATCATATTATTGATCTTATCAATTCTGTAGAAGCAGTTGGTGAAATTTAATAACTGACCTAACAATCCTAACTTTTTTTTTTTTAATCTTTTCCACTTGTTTTTATTTATTTTTTTCAATAAAATCATAAATCCCATCTGTAGCAGTATTATAAGATATTGTTCAAGTTTGACATAGTCATAAAACTGCAGTTCTCTATTGCAAAGCTCAGGACACTGAAAAATGCATGCTAAAGATTGTCCTCTCATTGGATTGCTACATATTTCTCAACAGTGTATTTGCTAAAATGATTTTACCTGTTGTGAAAACACAAGGTTTGCATATTTTATTGCAGTTGCACAGAGGTTGCCATAATTGTTTGTTTGTTTTAGACGTTTGTCAGTCATCAGGCTGCAGTGCCACGCAGAACTTTTTATTTTATCAACAAGAAATCAATCAAACTGCTTCACACTGAACAGAGTGAACGAGACTTTCCACCTTTTTGTTGTAGTTTTCTCTCATTCCTGTCACTGCCACATGTGCACACACAGGCACATGCACGTTTCCCACTCCTGATTGCCACTCAGTTTTGACTTTGTTCCAGTGCCACTCCCTTACTCTCTAATGCTGGTTTTATGCAGAGTTAGCAGCTGGGGACGTCCAGAGACAGCTGGCATTCTGCAGGCTTACTGGAGCAAATGGACCCTGCTCAGTCGCACTGCACAGGCACCAATCAAACAGCTGTCCTGGGATTGGAAATGGATTATAAATTTAAGAGAAACATGACAGCAGGTCTGCACTAAAATTGTTGCTATTAACCTTAGCCGCTGTGCAAAGCACACGTTACTCATTAACATACACATGCACAACTTCTCATAGAATATAGGTTTAACACTCTCACTGGATAATTTAATAAACACTCTAAACTTTGGTTCACCTCGTTGCCCTGGCCCTAATCAGAACATCAGTCAAGTGTCTGTTTCATCAGAATTGTTCTGATCACCAGAAGGATTACTGATCCAACGATCAACGCTCCAATGATGAAGCATCTCGGCCTGCAAAGACGATCTGTCCGTTCACAAAGTCATCGAGCCGGCACAGATGGAAGCTTTCAGAAATTTAAGCAGCATTGCAGAACTGAGAGGCATGGAGCAAAACTACTGCGTCGATGTGGAGAACCACACATTAAATGTGTCAGACATTTACCTCAGTTTTTAAAAGCTTAAAGAATTAATTCAGTTTAGCGACTGGCACCCCACAACTCTGATGGGGAAGTTTCTTTATCAGATTTTGCAGAAACTGTTGTATGACTAGAAACTTTAAATTGAACAAGTTGGACATATAGTTTAGATCATCAGAACAATTTTTTTTTCCCCTCAGCATGATCCATATCTTGTAGTGTGTACGCACACATACAGAAGAAAGCAGAAGTAGCAGAAGTACTGATCTTTTTTTACACACTGATGCATCGTTGCTCAGCACATCTGCTCTGTAGCTTTCACATCTGTCCCTGTGGTGTATTGGTCAATTAAACAATATATTCTCTGCTCTGTTTTAAACAGAATACCTCTGATTGATGCTTTACATGCTTTTGTGTGTGTGTGGGCGGGGGGGAGGGTTGCTTTTAAAGAATTAAAAATTATTTCTGATGTATCTGCAAACACTTTTTCTTGCTGCTTTGTGATGTTGACATGTTGTACTTCCAGAAGTCACAAGATCTTGCTGCTCCGACTGACTTTTCTCTCTCTTTGTGCTTTTAGGTGTTAAATGAAGAGTGTGATCAGAACTGGTACAAAGCAGAACTAAATGGAAAAGATGGATTCATTCCTAAGAATTACATAGAGATGAAAGCCCATCCGTAAGTATCGCAGAAACCTGTTAATTACCTATAAAACTGTGCAGTTTGTGTCAAACGTTTACCTTCGGGGGAAAAATTAAGGTCGCCGATTGGTCATTTGCTGACACGCCTACTGGATTGATTGACAGGTCAGGGGGAAAAACGAAAGCTGGCAGCCCCAGCCGCAGCGGTGTTCTGTGTTTATATGTTGTTAATAAAAAGTTCTAAAAATATAAATAAAAAAAACAGGGAGCACTGGCCCTGCAGCCCACTCATCAGATCAGCCCAACAGGAAATCTCCAGACCCTCCTGCAGCCACGCTGGGACTGATTTTAATTAGCTTGTGACAAATTCCTTCATTTCTCATCATTTCAGTCATGGAATCAACTGAGGAGGAAGAGATGGCTTGCCTCTTGGCAAAAAAAAACAATAAAGAAAAGGCCAGATCATGGATGAAGAAGGGGAATTTAATACATTGGTGTCGCATACAAAACAGTCCGTCACTGGGCAGTTTATTGTGCAACACCATGCACGCGGTTGTAAAAATTGAGCTTTGCGCGGACATGCCCTGCGGAGGTACGCGCGTACCTTCACGTACGCTGGAGTATACTGGGGGCTTTACCTCTGTAGCTTTTTAGCTAGTGCGTCTGTATTGTGCACCACTAGCTTAGCGCTATGTTAGTGCTGGCATTTGTCCATGGAGGGAGGGGGGACAGTTCAGTAGACAGGATGCTCAGTTCTGTTAAAAGGGCGGGGACTCCCCTCCTGGTGGATGGTAGGAGAAACACTGTCATGTACACTGTATACTATTCACATGAAAACCTTTGTGAAGTGACTTGTGTGCAAGAAAAAGCTCTCGATTGTGTGGAATTGTGGGCGATGGGGGTGTTGGGAAATTCTTTGGTAACCCCCAGGTGTAGAAAGTCCACAAGATAGCTGACTGAGAATATTTGTACAGTATATAGTAAATTTATGTCCACTGGACTGCCTCAGACAAGTCGGCGGGGGAGAGGACGTACTCCAGAAACCATCTGAGCACAATCTAACTGGTTAACCCACTATGTGAAGGTGCTATTTATAAGACTGAGTTTGTTGTGGCTCTTTGTGCTGATGAAGTCTTTTGCATGAAAGACAAAACGTGTCAACAAAAAGAAACCGTCCAGAGGACCTGACTTTAACTTTGTCCCCTGGACAGTTCCCCTAACATGGCTTAAAGGACACGGCACCTGTCATCCAGACCTTGAATTCAGTGTTTTGTCAGTCTGTAACTTAAAAAATAAAAGTTTCAACCTAGCAATAAATCTGAGAAATGGAAAATGTGTTTTAGTACATTTTAGCTGGGAAAATTTCAATACAAAGCATCTAAAGGCAAATTGTTACTATAATTTAATAAACACGATGTAAAGTTTAATTTCAAGTTGGACATTATTTCTTATGAACTTGTGTACAGTCTGAGAAAACTGCTCTCTTTTTTTTTTTTTTACTTCATTCTAATGTACGAAACAGGATTTACTGTCATTAATATTCACATACTTGCCTGTGTACGTTAGTATTCCTATTTAAGGATGATTCCTCTGAGGGTCACAGCAGAGCACTTAGATTATACAAAACATCTGGATTAGCAGCATGTAAACAATGAAGATGGTGGTAAAACAGACAGTATGTGGACAGTTTTTGTTTATATGCTGCATGCAGGGATATCTAAATTAGACATGTGACATCTGGTCACATTTTTGTCTCTACTGTCTTTTTGTTCACTTGTTTTGCCATCTGAGTCAGTGCAGCATTCATTTCACACCTGCTCTAAAACTGAATACAGGATATTCTGTACAGTGTTGGTTAAAAGCAAATGCCTGAAGACCGCCACCATCATCTCAGTCCCAAAGAGCTCTACAGTCTCTGGTCTGAATGACTATTGACCAGTAGCCCTCACCCCGATAGTCTCTAAATGCTTCGAAAAACTGGTCATGATCCACATCAAAACAACCATCAACATCAATGAGGACCCTCATCAGTATGCATACCACAAGAACCGATCAACAGAAGACACCATCTCTTCTGTGGTCCACACTGCTCACACCCACCTGGAGCAGAAGGACTCCTACGTCCGTATGTTATTTGTGGACTTCACGTCTGCCTTCAACACCATGATCCCCCAAACCCTGATGGACAAACTACTCACACTAGGACTAAGCCCCTCCATTTGCACCTGGGTCCTAGACTTTTTAACAAACAGACCTCAGTCAGTGAGGATCCACAACTTCTCTTCCTCCACCATAACACTCAGTACTGGCTCCCCTCAGGGCTGTGTGTTGAGCCCTCTCCTGTTCACTCTGCTCATGTATGATTGTGCACATACCAGGCTGTCATATTGTAAAGTTTGCAGATGATTCAGCGGTGGTGGGATGCATCACAAACAATGAGTCCAGCTACAGGCAGGAGGTGGAACACCTGGAGAGCTGGTGCAAAGAGAATAACCTTCACATCAATGTGAAGAAGACAAAGGAGATGCTTGTGGACTTCAGAAGGAACAAACACACCTACACCCCCCTGAACATAAGAGGATCTGCAGTGGAAGTGGTCTCCAGCTACAAGTACTTGGGTGTGCACCTGAATAACAACCTCAGCCGGGGCAACATCACCACCAGCCTGATCAAGAAAGCACATCAGAGACTCTACTTCCTCAGGCGGCTGAGACGAGCTGGTCTGGGAAACTCAGTCCTCACCTCCTTCTACAGGTGTGCAGTGGAGAGCATCCTGTGCTCCAGCATCAACGTGTGGCATGGAGGCTGCACAGCTGCAGAAAGAAAAGCTTTGCAGAGAGTGGTGAATGCTGCACAGAAGTCTGTTGTAGTCAGTCTACCCACCATTACAGACTTTTACACCTCCAGATGCAGGAAGAGGGCCACCTGCATCATGAAGGACCTCACTCACCCAGTACACACACTTTTTGCCCCGCTTCCCTCAGGAAGGAGGTTGAGGAGCATTAAGTGTAGAACCACTAGACTGAGGAACAGCTTCTACCCTGAGGCTGTTAGACTCATGAATCTCTAACCAGGATAATCACTGTGAAAAAAATCACATCATGTTTCTGCTGATCTGTTTCAATGTTGCTGCTGATCTGTTTCGTTGTTGCTGTGTTCATTCGTGCTCATCAGCTCACACAGACTCATGCTCGTGCTGCTGTTTGATGTAATGTTTTTATGATATTAGTGCTTAGTTTATATTGAGCTGAAATTTTTCTTAGCTCATATCTTAGATCTTATTACTGTTTTTCTTTTACATTTTATTGTTGGATGTAACTGGGACCCTGTGAATCTCTGACTCTGACTCTGAAATGCACTTCCTTATCAAGAGGCACGTACGTGTGTGTGTGTGTGTATAGTTGTGTGTGGAACCTCTTTAGGTAGATCTTGGCAGGATCCTGGGAGAACATTCCCTCCGGACCTACAGTCGGTGCCAGATTCCCTCTCTCTTTATTAATGTTCTTAGAGCCTCTTAATCTTAATTGAATATTGACCTTGCTGCATCATTGCAGTCAGATCTAGCTCTTTTAAAGGACAGTTCTCGTTGTATTAGACTTGTTTTGAAGATTTTTTTAAGGTTTCTTCAGTTATTTGTACTAATGGTAAAATAATTTTCAAGTCTCTTGCAGTTAAAATGTGGCTGAATCCCAAACATTGTCATTAAAGCTGCAGAAGTCTGAGCTTTGCTTTATATATATATATTGGCAAGTCTAACAAGAATTTAGTTTAAAATATTTAAATGACCAGTAAATATCATCTGCACATATTTCACTGTAAATTATTACCGTTATTTAAGAGTAACCTCATTTACCTTGAAAAGGTAATCATTAATAAATCATAAACGATAAACTTTATTAGAATTGTGTCCTTTTAACCTCATCCACGTTCTGCAAAGTGCTTTATGATGTGTCTCAGTCACCCATGTACACACGTGCGCATGCACACACACTTTTACTCAGAGGGCACTCTGGCACTGTAGAGTCCTAAAATCTCTTGTTGGAGGAGGGCCTTTCTATCACTGGGCCAGTGACGGCATTTAAATGGATAGTTTAGATCTTTTGAAGTGCGGTTCTGTGGAGGAGTTGTAAGTCGTTCCCATCTTACCTGTTATGGACAGATTCTTGAGTGACCTCAGTTTAGAGAACTAGTTTTCAGTCCAGCAAGGCTGATGAGTTAACTGCTAGTTCAAATGCAGCCAAGACCATAGTGGATTACTGCTGCCCTAAAACAACACTAATATCTAAAATATTAAGTCGTTTTATGGAAACAAAATATTTAAAAACCCTGAATTTCAGATTACATGGTATTTATATACAATTCTGTATTTATTTGCAAGCTCTAATTAAAACCGCACCAGTGATCTGTTGTACTTTCTGTGCAACCAGGAATGCTATTTTGAGTAGAATAACTGTGTGGTTTTAAATTAATGGATGTTTAAAGTTTGATTTGCTTGAACTGCTAGAAAATTTTGAGGACTAAAACAAACCACCTAGGTTTCGCGTTCACCTAGGCTGCGTTCAGACCAACAGTTAGTGCCGACAGTCAGTCCTGCCAAACTTGATCTCTGTTTCTCAGGACAGAAGTAATTTAAGACCTGTCAAATAAGAAATTAATGGTTTATAACTTTTCCTTATTCAGAACTCCACTTCAGAATGGCTGAACTGTCCCTTTAATGTAAAGTCACTCTGAGCTGATCTACTGACTCAACTGGGGACTCACTGCGACTGATTTCAGCAGATCTTTGTCTGATAAATGAAGGACTGGGGATCACACACCACATGATGGACCTGAACTGAAAACTGAAGCATCAAATTGTCATGAGGGCGACCGTTTAAAGGGTAAACAAACATGGACGACAGTCGTCGTGCTGCTGCTGCGTGCGCAGATTTCTGCTCTTCTGGCGCCGTTTCCTGTGCCTCGCCCTCTCTCTTTCATAGGCTGTTGTCAACATGTGTTTGCAGCTGGATCAGTAATCTGTTCACATGATCAGATCTGGCTCCATAAATTCAAACTTGTTTGACTGCAGCTGAGGGCAGAACATCTTGTGTGTCCTCAGTCGACACACAGCACACACTGCTTTGGTTTTTAGTGACCCTGACTTGTATAGCCCACCAAAAAAACAATAATAATTTATAATAATTATGTTGTTATTAAGAGAAGGCATAAAACCATGACCTGACTGTGGAGTTGTTCATGTCAAAGTTTTATTTTACAAAACAATACACATTGTTGGCTTTAGGATGGTGTCGCCAGACTTTACACAACTTTATTTTACATTTAATTTGTTTATATTGTAAACTCAAACCATGCTAAATTTAGTAGTGGAGTCTGAATAACGGCGCGTTCAGTCCTGCTTGTGTTCAATGCGTTACAAAAGTACCAGGCACCCACATGTCTCTGTCAACACAGACACACTGCGCTGCGTCGTGGCAGAACACGACCGAAGAAGGTTCTGATCAGTCGGTTCTGCTTGGTCTCAGATCATTGCTTCTATTCCACAATGATCGTGTTTCGTGATGAATGATTAGTGGACCAAAGGTAGTAAAACTCTGACTTTCAAACAGACCCTTTCACAATAATGTATTTGGTTGTTGTTGATGGTGATTCTTTTTCTAATAAATGCTTCAGCTTTGATCAGGGACTCTGCAGACTTGTGACCCGTTACAAAGTTGATTAAAAGTTCAACAATTTTCAGTCAGGTCATCTGGGCAGTTTCTTTTTTGTGCTGAAACATTTCACCTTCTATCCGGAAGGCTTCATCAGTCAAGGAAACAACACAAAACTGATTCTTCCCCCAACAGTTTACTTCAAAGTGGAACAAACCAGTTATGTTGGTGCTAAGAGGGTCTCTTTGTCACGCCCCCTCCTCTTGTTCCGGCCCTCTTCCTCGTCCACAGTCATGTCAGACTGGTTCAAAACCAAAAGAAGTCCATGCTCAATAATCCAGGTATACAATCCAACAATTTTCAGTCAGGTCATCTGGACAGTTTCTTTTTTGTGCTGAAACATTTCACCTTCCATCCAGAAGGCTTCATCAGTCAAGGAAACACCAACATAACTGTTTGTTCCACTTTGGCGTAAGCTGTTTGGGGGAAGAATCAGTTTTGTGTTGTGTGTTTCCTTGACTGATGAAGCCTTCTGGATGGAAGGTGAAACGTTTCAGCAAAAAAAAGAAACTGTCCAGATGACCTGACTGAAAATTGTTGGATTGTGTACCTGGATTATTGAGCATGGACTTCTTTTTATTAAAAGTTGTCTTTTTTTATTACAAATGTCTACTTTTATGTAAAGCAGCAGATGGTTGTAAACTATTCACTCCAATAAAAAGTTTTTTGAATGCTTTGGTTTGTGTTTATAGTAATATAGGAGATGACTAATAACAAATGTGCCACTTTGAGACAATGGAAAACGTGATTGTTTTTTTATTTTTTATTAAGCTTTTTAAACAAGACATCAGGCTGCTGTCCTTTTTTTTTTTTTTTTCTTACCAATGTTTTGTAACTGTGGCAATCCACAAGACTATTCTGTAAAAAAATTAAATGCAAAAATATTATTTTTGTACGTGTACCTTTTTAATTTCAGTAACATTTAGATGTTTTGAGTGTTAGAGAAAATTCAAGTATTTCCAACATACGGTTTAAAACCGTTGACTTTGAATAAACAGAACGGGTGTTTTTTAGGCAAATTTTGACAGAGTACAACAGAGTTGACTTGTCCAGACTTCCTGGTGTGTTCACAAAATATTTAAGTGGGCGTGTCACGACCCACCGAGTCATCGTATCCCCATCTGTATGCACAACTGGTTGGTTCTTAGCACCGCTCTCTTCTCTGATCACACCTGCATACCAGCAGGATGTGGGACGTTTGTATTCTCGTTTTGTCACCTCCACTTTGACCTCAGAGTTGCTGTTGCTGTAGCCAAGTGCCCAAATAGTGCCTGCCTAAAAGAACATTTTTATACTTAAAAATAAATACTTGTCCTCAACTCACACATTTTCTGGTTCACTTCTACAGGTGGTTCTTTGGAAAGATTCCTCGGGCCAAAGCGGAGGAGATGCTAAACAAACAGAGGCACGATGGGGCGTTCCTCATCAGAGAGAGCGAGAGTGCACCAGGGGACTTCTCCCTCTCTGTGAAGTGAGTCGCTCAGGTCAAACGTAACGCATCACGAGTTTCAGCCGTGTTCTGTGAAACCAAGTTAATATTGTCCTCATGTCTGCTTACAAGTTTCCTCTAAAGTGTTCGAGTTCTTCAGCTTCTGCACGTTTGAGTCATCAACTGTTGTTTCCTTTTTCTGGTGAAGTTGCAGTGATGTGATCTTGTGACTTTTTTTGAAGTCTTTAGTCACCAATCCTCAAGTAGTTTTTGTTTTAGTCCCAGGTGCTTTTAAAGTTTGGTTCTTACGTTATTGTTTTATTTTGTTGTTTTTAATTTTTTGGAAGAAGTGCAGGGTACGTGTATGAACTGTCCTGCTTCCAGCTCATCAGTTTGTTTAAAGATAAAATGATCAGTGTTCGTTCAAATGACTAATATTGAGCTGTCCGAGACGCCTTTTAGATCAGTGAGGTTTGTCTCTGACTGCATCATTTTAGGTTAGTTTGTTTCTTAGATAAAGGTTCCTAAAGTTGGGGTCAGGACTCCACAGTGCATCGTGAAATGACAAGTGAGGGGTCTTGAGATCATTTCCAGAAATACAAGTTTAAAGTTGAAAATAGCACACTGTTATAAAAAATGCATCAGTTTTAAATTGATTACAGAATGTTTAGGCTGTGGTTGTAGCCTTATTTTTATTATTAGAAATACTTATACACGTAGACCAACCATAGTTTGAAACTAAAATCTCTGCTGTTGTTGGTTTTGTAGGTCAGAATCTGAAAAAAATGTAGGACCTGTGGCTCCAGATTTTACTGTTTTGAGATTTCCTATGCATTTCCTGCTCATCGTTTGCATCTTTATGCTGCTCTTCAGGTTTGGAAATGACGTCCAGCATTTCAAAGTTCTTCGTGACGGAGCTGGGAAGTATTTCCTTTGGGTAGTGAAGTTCAACTCCCTCAACGAGTTGGTGGATTACCATCGCACCACCTCTGTGTCTCGTAATCAGCAGATATTTTTGCGAGACATAGAGCAGGTCACCCAGGTAAGAAATGACATGCCAAGGACTAACGATCTGTGACACATCTCTTATTATGACAAATATAAACATTTACTCTATTATTATTATTATTTTCATGGGACAGTTATGATTTATAAAGTATCTATATGTGGTTCACGATACACCTGTCAGAATGTTCACTTGAACATACCAACAAAATACTTGCCTCCCACTCAACTTGGATAACTCGTGGTTAAGTTTGAAGTGCTGCAGAACCGTAGATTTTATGAAAATAATCTCTTTGTGCATGTCTGTTGACTAATGTTGTGACATGAGCGTAGGAAGTCCAGAACAGATGAGTAAAAGTCAGTCATGAGCAGAGAGGAACATGGTGAGGATGAAACGCCCTCAAAATGGTTTTCAAAATGCACGCAGGCCTTTCAGGACCGCTCCAAATGTTTTGATATAAATATGTGCATAAATCCTTTGAGGAGACAATGTCACTATTGTTTGTAACATTAGTGATATTTTACAGGGACAGGAATATGAACGCTTTATTCTTACATCAGCTCTCTGAATGTGTGTGATATTTCACTTATGATGATGAATAAAATAAAATCAAGATCAATTTTGAGCCGCAAACTGAAAATATTTAGCGTAGCTACGCTTATCTTAGTATTTCATAACTTCTCAATCTAAACGAGGCGGTTTCAGCAGTAAGAACAGAAAAGGCTCCTAAAAACAACAAACGGTTAGCTGTGGTTGAGCTGCAGACTGCAAGGCTGAGGGACAGCAGCAGGGGAACGCAGAGAGGAAACAACCCAAACCACTTAGAGAAGCACAACATGACACAGGTAAGAGGAGGAGAGGGAACACTGTCTGATGGAAAGAGAAACAGTTTGAGACGTTTGATTCTGCAGCTGCTAAAAGCAAATTCTCTGTAATTTTAGGTTTTTTATTTTCTCTATATATATCGTTTCAATCATGAGAATTATTTTTAAAACTACTGTTAAACTGTTTTTTTAGCATCTGAAGAACATTAGACCAGATTTAAAGGGATATTACAGCCATTTTGAAGTAGAGTTCAGTTCAGCATGTAGTTAGGAAGCCTTAATATCTCACCTGTTAAGCTCTGTGGTTCCCAACCCTGGTCCTTGAGGAACGCCGTCCTGCATGTTTTAGTTATTTCCCTCCTCCAACACACCTAATTCAGTGGTTTAATTACTTCCTTAAGTTTGGCAGGAGCCTGTTAATTGCTCTTTCGTTCAAGTCAGATGAGTTGGAGCAGAGGAACAACTAAAACATGCAGGATGGTGTTCCTCAGGGACCAGGGTTGGGAACCATTGCTTTAAATGACCTCAGTTTGTAGAAATTCAGCTTAACTTTGTCAGCATTGTTTTGTTTCAAGCTCTGTTCTGTTTTTTACTAACTTTTTTTACATTTTTCTCCCCACTCCCCCAATCTTTGGATTAATCAGCACCCCACATACGTCCAAGCGCTCTTCGACTTTGACCCCCAAGAGGAAGGCGAGCTGGGCTTCAGACGTGGCGACTTTATTCAGGTCCTGGACAACTCTGACCCCAACTGGTGGAAAGGAGGCTGTCACGGCCAAACGGGCATGTTCCCCCGCAACTACGTCACCCCGGTCAATCGGAACATGTAAAACAGTCAGACCGTGTAAACAACAGCAACCATCCCCCTCCACCATAACCATCATTGTTCTCGATCGCATCATCCCCGCCATCCAACCCTCAACCGCCCCCTCCACCTCTCCTGGCCATCCCACAGTGACAGGAAGAACGCAAATAACTGAGAGAAAACGGGAGTCGAGCTGTTGTAGGCGTAGCTACGTGGGCAGCATCAACTTTCATTCGTGCTGAGAACGTTCACTTTCCTGCTGAACGCCTCAGCGAGGACTGAACTGTCTGAGGGAAATAAAAAAAAACAAAAACAAAACATAGTTCACCAACCATGAAGATTTCTAAACAATTCATCCACACCCACAGCTGCTTCTCTCCTCTCCACTTTTTAACATTCTGCCTTCGTGTCGTTCGTTTTTCTTTGCCGCATGTTGATTTACTCACTTTATTAAATCGCCTACCAGTAAATCCTAATTTTGTTTTAAAGAAAGGTAAAAAATTAATAAAAATGTAAAAAACAAAGGGGGTTTAAAATATAAAAAAAGATAAATGATGTCATTAACAAGTTTCCATGTGTAACATCGGCACGTGAGCGTCAGCTTTATAAAAGAATCAAGTATAGAGAGTCCATTTTTTTAAGGATATATATTATATATTTGTATGTTTGTTTGTTTTACCTCGTGGCAAATTGTTTTCCATTTGTAAATTATGTTCAGCTTTCTGTTAGCCAGGGTAAGACCTAGTAACTGTAGAATGTGATGAACTGTCAGTCGAGTGTTTTTTGTTTTAATCCAAAACGTCACATCTTGACATTTAAGCCGCCATGAGTGGAATTTTTGAAAAGATTTCTCTTCTGTCATGCAAGAAAAAAAAACAGGAACTAGTTCTGTCAGGAAGTTACGACCGACCAGCATCTGGAGCTACACATGCTGAGAAATCTGTGTTTAAAAAAATATTAAAAAAGAAAAAAAAAGCCCAGCTACCTTTTGAAGCAAATGTATTTATTGCAGCCATTTTAATTTTGCTGATGAATGTAGCTGACTGAATCTACAAACATGAGGGAAGCGCGGTCGGAGAACTGAACCACACAAGGGATTTAAAAACAAACAGAACAACATGCTGAAATCAAATGTTGGTGTTCATTTATGGAGCGGTGTGTAAAGGTGTGTACAGGTAGTTAACGTTTGTATTCAAACACCATAGTTGCATGCGTACGCAGACACTCCTCCCCTTCGATCTACCAGAAAAGGGGCGGAGCTTGGATAATCATGTGTAGTCACCGGTGCAGACCTGCAGATGAATTTACACGTCAGAAAACTGAGATTATTTTATTTTAACTTTAACAATGAGCTGAAATGATGTAAATTGTTTTTGTCTGTTTGTTTAAGCACTTTTTTTTTGTCCACCTTTGTTTTTGTTTTCGTTTCTCGTTCTCTCTGGATAGTGCCTTTCTCTCTGGTGTTTCAGTGTCTCCGATCTGCTATTTTGAGCCCCCCACACACAAAAAACCACACCCTCCTTTTCAGGGTCTGCCATTGATGAGTGTAAATAATCCAAGATGTCCCATCTGACTAAACTCAGCCTTCCATTCCTCGTCCATTGCCCACCTTCACTTTCACCCTCACCCTGATAGAACTTTAATTTGTCTCTCGCCTCATCTTACCTAATGACACAGTTTTGTGTTTTGCTCTTTTTTTTATTATTATTTGCATTTGTTTTCAATTCATAAAACACAATTATTAAAAATGTGCTTTTTGTTGTCTACATTTTGGTTTTGTTTTTTTTGTTTGTTTTTTCCAAATACACAATTCCTACAGAGTCTTGAAAAGTTTGGAATATGGTTTTAGTATTTTCAAGGTCTGGATAAGTATGGAAAGAAATTAAAGTAATGGGAAAATGTGTTCCAGACTCTGTTCCCTCTTTTCTCTAAAAGACAAATATGCAAGTCTTTCAGCTAAGATTGACTCTCAGCTACTACCACAACGAAGTTAAACTCAAATTCACTCTCTCGTTTTTGTCGTTTCTATGGACGCTCGGCTGTAGCAGCCATCTTGAATTAAGTTATCTCCAAAAGTTAATCTGTTGTGTCCATTAATAAGATAGTTTGCTAACATGACAAACGAACACGTCCACTCTGACTTGGGCAAATACATTGTCCCCATTGCTCTTTCAGTGGCAAGCAATATATTTTTACATGCACACACATAAATGTTTATATTTGTGTTTCATGTGTGGGGACAAAAATTAAAATTGAAATTTTTTATTGTGAAAGAAACTTTCCTTGTGTCCACTTGGATAGAAAGGACACCGTTTAATAAAAGCTAAGAGACGTGGGATATTTTAGAACCCCAACCTATTGCGAGTTCTCATTCAGAACGTGCAGCTCTTCAGAGATTCTTTTTCATTCAACATTTATTTATTCAGGTTAGTCTCATTGAGCCTCGAGGACTCATTTACAAGAGAGACTTGTTTTAAAGGAAGAACACAGATGAGGTACAGACAATAATATAAAAAGCATATAAAATGAAAAGTAAATAAAAGAAATATAAAAACAGCTACATTATAAAGTGATGTAAAATACTAAAAGCAGGAACATGTCTGCATTGGTTTTTGCCATGAACTTAAGAGCTGTTTAAAATCCCTTAGAGGTCAAGGCTGACAACTGCAGTAAGATATTCCAGGAAGCGGGAGCAGAATAGGAGAAGGCCCTTTTGCCAAATTTGGTCCACACTGAGGGAACACTGCAGGTAATAATGTCCTGAGAGCGCACGCTGTAGCTGCACTCACACAGTGACATGTAGGAGGAGATGTATGAAGGCAGCAGACCAAGAAGTGATTTAAAGATGAAATTGTACCAGTGGGAGAGTCTGTGTGAAGTTAATGATGTCCAGTTAACCAGTGAATACAGGGTGCAGTGGTGGGTACGGTAGTTACAGCCAGTTATGAATCTTAATGCACCATGATAGACAGCATCCAACATCTGCAGGGTGCTTGTAGGAGCGTTCATGTAAATACTGTCACAGTAGTCAATGGTGGGAAGGAAAGTTGCAGTTACAAGGTGTTTCCTAGCATTCAGAGTTGGGATCCATTTCTAAAAATGAAACCCAGTTTAACTTTCAATTTTTTGACAAGTTTTTGACATGAGGCTTAAAAATGAGATGCAAATTGACTAAAATACCCAAGTATTTATATGAATCAAACTCAATAGGACATCGTTCGAAGATAAAATAGAAGGAAGGACTGCTGGCACTGACTTCCTGTTTGAAAACATCCCTTTGTTTTTTTTCTCAGCATTTAGCACAAGTTTGAGATGGAACAAATCTGACTGGATGATGTTGAATGCAGATTGCAAAAGCTGTAAAACCTTAGCAACTGTTCTAGCTCGACAATAAACAACTGTGTTGTCGGCATAGAAATGTAAGGATGCATCAGGGATGATCTGATCTTATGTAGATTGTGAAGAGGGTGTGTCCTAAGACTGACCCTTGTGGTACACCATTGTTAACAGATAGCTGGAAGAAGTTCCATTATGTTGAAGACATTGCCTCCGATCTGAGAGAGAACCAACCAATGGTATGATCTGAGAAACCAATTTCTGAGAGCTTATGACACAAGATGTCATGATCCACAGTGTCAAAAGCTTTAGACAGGTCCAAGTAAAGTGCAGCACAGTAGTCCAAAGCATCCAAAGTTTCAAACATCATTAATCCTTCAGCGAAGAGAGATCTCTTGCCTTAGTGTTTTAAAGCTTTTCCATTTAGTTATAAATGTTTTTACCAAATTATAATTATGTGTTAAGGACTTAAACCCTCCTTCTAAGATAGATATGTCTACAAACATTTGCAATAAATCTGTGGGTGTTTAGGGGAGCGGTGTTGCATCTGATTACCAAATATATTAACTGGGATGCACTTTGTGCAAACCTTTGAGATATTAATGGAAGCACATTGACAAAAAATCTCTTTCCTGCTCAGTCCTAATGTCAGCTAAACATTTTGATCATGGATTTTGGAACCGTTGAGCTATGACCACACCAAACTTTAGCTTAATATTTAGATTAATGCTGTCAAAATGAGTCTGACTGATTGCAGGCAGCAGAGCAAAAAGCCTAAAAATATTGACTTTACCCTAATAGAGATTTGCTTAAAAATAAGTCCATGAAGCATTCCCCGTAATATAATCTTTCTAATCTTATGACTTATAATTTCCTTTGAAATTGATTATTTTTCTCTGCTGTCTGCTGTAATACTGAGAAATCTCTTCATATAATGTGAAGCTTATGCCAAAACATCATGATGACATCATTCTAGATAAGGGGTTTGCAACCTGCGGCTCAGGGGCCACATGTGACTCTTTGACTGAAACTGACATAAAATTGACTTTTGTTTGTTTTTATACCCCCCACCCAAAAAAAATAAAAATAAGGCTAGTTTTAGCAGTTTTCCTGTAAATTGTTCTGGCAATATGTGAATGGTACCACTAATAAAAGGAGTGAAGCGTGTTGCCTAGGTAACACTAGTAGTTTGTTAGTTACTTCTTTAATCCAACTTCCATCCTCACAGTAGGATCGTTCTCTCAAATCCACCAGAAATCTTTCTGCTGGATTCTGAAATAATATATAATATTCTGAATTAATAATAATAATAATAATAATAATATGAGTCAATAAAAAAAGTCAAGCCAATGTAAATGAATGTATTTGTTTTTTGTTTTTTTAAACATCACAATTATATATCCAACATACTGACTTAATTTTTATATTCACTGTGACATTTCAAAGTGGGCTAACTAATTTTTCCACAAAAACAGGACTGGTAGGCATGCAGTCAAAAACTATATTTTGTCCATGAATATCTTTTCGTTGGTGGTTAAATGTAAAAATATCAATAAAAGTTATATATTTGTTCTTTGTCACCACTACTCGCCCACCTCCAACTAACTCGAAGTAGTCCACAGGCCACCAGTCGAGAATCACAGTAGGAGCAGGTTTTGTGGCTCAGGGCACATTTTGTTGTGCAAATAAATTGCACTCTTTATTGTAAAGTTTGCAGATCTTTATTGTAGAGCAATCAAAATCAAGTTTTCAAACCAACACTTGTTAACAAAACTAGCTTGTTGCTAAGTCAGGTGATGAATCGCAAAATTTTAGATGGAGAATTTGAAAACAATCAAATCGACTGAACTGTGTATTCTTTTTCTTTGTAGCCGTCTGACTCCAAGTTTCATTAGAATTTGTTTGGGTGGTTCATGAGATATTTTGCTAACAGACAGGCGATAATGACCTGAACTAGCTGATATTTTCAGA